TATCTTTTGGTGTCTGTAATTCAGTCTCCTACACTGAGGGAGCACAAAGCAAGGAAGAGAGTGGCAAATACGGCCCTAGTGAAAGGCCAGAGGCCAGTGGCTCCCACACAGCAGTGCCATCTCTTCTCTGAGCAGCAAACAAGGGATGTATCTCCTTCACTTGGTGGCGTTGAGAAGGAGAGATCCTCATTCCTCTTGGGTTTGAACCTTCCTGAAGACAGGAACAGGTGCATCTGTAGGAGTCTTTCAGACACCGGCCAGTCTGTCAACAAAAGACCTTGCTGATCCTCTCGTTGTCAGTGGGGGCCCTTACAAGAGTGAATGAGATGATGCCACTCCTCATGGGATGTCACTAAGGGATGACGGTCATGGTCCCTAAGGGACAAGGTCATTCTTGATTAATGCCAGAAGAAAGTGCAGATGTTGCATGGTGGTGGGAGGGACTGGCCTGTGAGCCTCACTCTGAGAGCCACTGGACCAGGCCACTTGAGAGCAGAGGACCTCTAACCTCTAGATTCTTCATGGTTAAAGTCCACTGGGACCTCTGCATTCCTGTTCCTCCTACCCGGTGCCGTGCCCTGAGGGTAACTGGTGACCTCACCGCTGTGCAAGGAGGCAAGATCTTCCCAGTAACCAAAACACTCAGCTCATGTGTCTTACAGCTCCTCTTTCTTGCCTTGCCCAATCAAAGCCTGACTCTCACGCTCAGTCACACCCCCATCCCGATAAATTAAAGGACCACACTAACAGGTCCTAATGTACCTAGTGAGTCCTCTCCTTAAAAGCTCTGGGAGCCTTGGCTTCATGGCCTCTCCCCTCACCTTGGCCCGATCTCTCTGCTTCACAGTTCTGTCCCTGGATTCTTTAGAGAACTTGCTGATGGACTGGGAGTAAGAGAAACTAGTGGAGAGAGGTGGTGGGGCAGGGATGGAGGTTATCAACGTACGTGAGAGAAAATCACCCTTTTCCCTAAAACCAAGGCATTTTCCTAGCAGAATGGCTTAGAACATGGGCATGGATGGGGGCTCAGATGGCTGAGGTTTGAATCTTAGCTCCACTATCTGAGTATCCTTAGGTGGTCACCTACCCTTTCTAAGCTTGGTTTCTTCATTTGATAAATGGGGATAATGACTTTCCCCACCTGCTGGGGCTGCTATGAGGATGTCATGAGATAGCACACATTTAACAAAGTCAAAAATTTAACAAAGTCAGCCCCTCCCACTGGGACTACTACCACAAAGACATCTTTCTCTGGTGGGTGGCCTTTCTGCCTTTGTGTCATTACATGTGCTTTTCCCTGTGTGAGCACCTTTGCCCAAATCTTTCACCTTTTATTCCCAATTCCAGCTCATCCTTCTAGTATCATCGCACGGGTCATCCCCACAAAGAATGATACATAATACATTTACTCGGCAACTATTAAATGTCAGGTACTCTTCTTAAGAGTTTACTTATATTATCCAACCTTATCCTCATGATAGCCCTATGAAATCAGTAGCTTTATCTGCTTTTACAGAGGGAGAAACTGAGGCTTGGGGACCGTGATCCCAAGTCTGTCTGGGATCCAAAGCTTGTGCTCACGTTGCACGTGACTCCACTGACTCCGCCCTCCCCCTCCCCACTCCGGGCACATTTAGCACCTTGTGCTTCAGCATGTGCCCACACGGAGGACAGCAGAGTGGCAGTGGTCTCACCAGTCATCAGCCCTGGGGTTCTGGGTCCCTGGTCAGCAGATCTGGCCTGGGCTGCCTGGGTCAGAATCACCTGGGAGCTTGTTGCAAATGACAGTTTCTGACCCTGCCACGGGAAATTCTCCCTCAGTAGATAACACCACCTCCTCCAGGTGGTTCTGAAGTGCAGCTAGATTTGAGAACTGTTGTTCTGGTCCAGCCAAGCGAGGACATGACTTGCCCAAGGTCATATAGCAGCCAGTCAGCAGCAGAGTTGGGACCGCTCTAAGCCTGTGTTCTTTCTACTATTCTCTGTGTGTTTCAGATTTGGGCCATGTGTCTGAATTCAATTAAAACCAAAATAAATCCCTTTTGGTTTATCTGTGGTTTTCTGTGATTCACACGTCAGTCTCTATTTATGCAAACCACTGAGAACTGACATTATGTACATCTTTTTACTCCCCAGTCTAAGCCCTTTTAAGCAACTGGACTCTCTCTCTCTGTGCTGTCAGAACTCTAGGTGGTCCATTTCCCTCCCAGGGCTGTCTTCCCCCTACATGTGCTGCAGGGACCCTGTTGCTCAGTGACCCTGAGGGGACTCCTCCCCTTGGTCTGGTCTTAAGGGGGCTTAAGAGGGACTGGGCCCTCCTCAAATGCAACCCAGAAGAGGCAATCGATGGTCCTGACTCACCTCAGCTTCCAGTGGGATTACTTTTTCAGACAAACTTGAAAATAACTGCTCAGGAAGCCCTGCAGATTGAAGAGCCGGGTGTCAATTCAGTTCAGCTCAACAACTGTTTGTTAACGGCCTCCCAGGCTCTAGGCCATTGCTTGCTGAGCCTTCAGAGGAATGTGGAGCTCGATGAGTGAGGCACGGCAGCCACCTCTGCCCTGGGGCATTCCCTGTCTCCCCATACACAGTCAGTCACGAGCTGCTCAGCATTCAGCATGGGCCTCCCATGCCCAACACAGCAGGCACCCCTGTGGGCTGGCAGGACTCTGTCTGGCTAGGGAGGATCCAGACCTATCCCATCAGTGGTGCCTGGACCAGTGTTAGCCTGTGTCTAGGGCTGGACCTCCCCGGTGGGTGATTAGTGGGGGTCCCTGGTAAGAACCTCTCCAGAGAGACCCTGGCACCTCTCTGTTGATGTGGCCCCTGTCTACGGGCTGCTGAGGTGAAGAAAGGTGATGTCAAGTCAAGAGCACTGGCCAGTACCCTGAAGTTCTGTCTCTGCTTAGCTGTGTGACCTTGAGCAGGCCACCCTACCAACTAAACCCCAGTCTCCTCCACTGTCAGATTGTGGAGGAAGTCCCTGCACACCTCCCAGGAGCTTTAGCTTAAATGAGATGATGCACTTGAGTATGTGGAATATGCTATAAAACACAACACAAAGTACTGTATTATTAAAATCATTAATTGTTCATTCTCAAGGGGACGTTAGAGATGATCTCATCCAGTGGTTTTCATAATGATGGCTCAGGCCACAGAATCCTTTCCTGGGATGAAATCTTACATTGAAGCCCAATACGTAACAGGAAAATGGAAAGAAAGAAAACCTGGCACAACTCTGCTGGGAGCTGAGGGAGGAGGCTGTCCCGCTGGTGAGGGTGGGTGCGAAGGGGCGGCTTGCTCAGGGCCCAGCAGGGCTGAAATGAGCACTCCCGTCTTCCAATTCCTAGTCCAGGCTCTTCCCATTGACATCGGATTGTCTTCCACAGGGAGATCCAAGTTTACATAAAAGAAAAATTCAAGAGCAGTTGTCCTTAGATCTAAAATACTTGGTCAAACGCCTGGTCACAGCTGCCTCTGGAGATGAAGATTCCATGACTAACTTCTCCAAGACATCAGCTGAAGCTAGTAAGCAGAGGCCTAGACCTCGGACTAGAAACGCTGTTAGACCACATCAGCTCTGGTCCCCTAGGGGAAATGCTAATTTGACTTGCTGATTCTCTAAAGGCAGGCTCAGGCATTTCTGCAGGGCAGAAAGATGTTCCCTAGTTTACTTGCCCATTGGATGAGCCGGTGATGTTCAGGTGGGGCTACCCCAGGCACACAGGATGACCCTTTAGGAAAAGCCAAGAAGCTTCAGAAGAGTCGGCACAGACCCAGACACCCACGTCCCCTCCCCAGGAGAGCCCCAGCCCGTGAGTGCTGAACTGACCCCACTGATGATGTGGCCACAACATCTGAATATGCTGCCCAGGCCAGGCCCCTGGGCCCTGGTCCAGGACTCTGACCCCCATGAGGCATTTGGTTGAAGAGCCCAGTGTTTCCACACCCTCAAGGAAGAGCTACCATTTCCCGTCACAAATATCCACCGTGGATGCATATTAAGCATTTGTAAGCCTACTGGTATACTTCGTACTCACCGTACAACCTCTTGGTATAAGGAGTCTGGGGTCGACTCCTCAGTATCGGAAGAAGTATTTCCTTTTCTTTAGCCTTAAAACATCTCATTTCCGGTCTCAAGGGCCGCCTGACCTTTGATGTTGAGAGAGCTGTTAAGAGGACCCTGTGTGTTCCGAGTCAATCCCTTCCTTCTAATCAACATTATGACCTCTGTGATTTCATCTTTCCAGGTTAAGACATTCTCACATTGATTCATTAGCTCATATTTACCTGTTTTTCATCCATTCTGCAAATATTTATCGAGGACCCCCTAGGTGTCAGGTACTTTCTAAGTGCTGGAAATAGTGAACAGCGTGTACTTTTCACAGCCAACTGCATTCACTTAGGGTCCAGATCTGCAGATGACAAGGGCAGTCTTAGCCGTCACCCTGCCTGGGAACTCGGCTGAACTTTCTTGCCCTGGACTGTGGTGTAGAACTTCAGTGCATCAGAATCACCGGGGGAGCCTTCTAAGTTACAGATTCAAGGGCTTGCCATCTGGTGACTTTTAGTGCAGTAGGTCTGAGGTGGGGTCAGAGAAATGATTTTTGAAAAGCTTACCAGGTGATACTGAATTGCAGGCCAGAATGGGTTAAAGGGGACCCAGGCTCAGAGGCCAGGACAGCCTCCTGGGAGGAGGCCACTTGGCATCTCCAACCTCCAGGCCTGTAGAGATGGAGAGGTTGGGGGTTTGTTTCTGTTGAAGAGGATGACAGCAGGAGTCAGTTCCTTGCTGTTGGAGAGGTGGGAACAAGGGTCAGCAAAGGAAAGTGATGGCAGCCACTGAACAAGGACCCGGAGGCCTTGCAGAGATGCGACTGGACTGTGAGCCCCCTCCCTTAGGGCTGGGGCTGGACACCAGGCCTGTGATGGGCAGAGGGGCCGAGCTTCGCTGATGCCACAGCTGGGTTAACAGGACGTGTCATTCTGTCTCCCTCCAGATCGTGTTCCGGAAGATCAGCGATGTGAAACGGGAGGAGGAAGAGCGCATGAAACGGAAGAACGAGGCCCCCCTGATCTTGCCGCCGGACCACCCTGTCCGGCGGCTCTTCCAGAGGTTCCGACAGCAGAAGGAGGCCAGGCTGGCTGCGGAGAGGGGCGGCCGGGACCTGGACGACCTGGATGTGGAGAAGGGCAGCATCCTCACCGAGCACACCCACCACGGCCTGGTGAAGGCCAGCGTCGTCACCGTCCGCGAGAGCCCTGCCACGCCCGTGGCCTTCCCTGCGGCCGCCGCATCCACAGGGCTGGACCACGCCAGGCTGCAGGCGCCGCCGGGGGCCGAGTGCCTGGGCCCCAGGGCCGGCGGGGGTGACTGGGCCAAGCGCAAGGGCTGGGCCCGCTTCAAGGACTCCTGCGGGAAGGCTGAGGACTGGAGCAAGGTGTCCAAGGCCGAGTCCATGGAGACGCTCCCCGAGAGGACAAAGGCGGGCGGTGAGGCCACGCTCAAGAAGACAGACTCGTGTGACAGCGGCATCACCAAGAGCGACCTGCGTCTGGACAGCGTCGGCGAGGCCAGGAGCCCCCAGGACCGGAGCCCCATCTTGGCCGAGGTCAAGCATTCGTTCTACCCCATCCCCGAGCAGACACTGCAGGCCACCGTCCTGGAGGTGAAACACGAGCTGAAGGAGGACATCAAGGCCTTGAACACCAAAATGACGAACATTGAGAACCAGCTCTCTGAGATACTCAGGATATTAACTTCCAGAAGATCCTCTCAGTCTCCTCAGGAGCTGTTTGAAGTATCGAGGCCCCAGTCCCCGGAATCAGAGAGGGACATTTTTGGAGCGAGCTGAGAGGTCTGCTGAAAAAAACAAGTCGAAGACAAAACACCCTATACCCTCCTGCCCTATAGACATCACCTCTACTACACACACCTACATGACCAACAACTTTCAAAGTAGCCTCTTCCCGACAGAAAATCCAAGGGGGACCAGTCGCTTAGGCACGCTCTCTCCTTTTCTCTGTCTGGGGGAAGATCCGGGAAGAGGAGTGTGCCACCACCCTGCAGGATGGCAGCTGCATCTGAACTGTCCTTGCACAATTTTGGAAGAGGAGGCGCACCGTCTAAAGGGTATTTTCCCTCATTTTTAATTTTTTACTGCCACGATATTTGTAAAAGATGAAAACTACCAGGAAAGAAAGAACAGCAGCCATTGGGGATTGGTGGGAGAGCACCGAGAACCCCTCGTGTATATTACCATGCTGGGCTCCTTCGCCAGGCCCGCCGGAGACTGTGGTGGGCACAGGGAGTTCCCAGCATTCCCTGCCCTTGGACAGCCTGTGTCTGAGCTCACCGTCTATTTCCCTACCGTAGTCATTTGTAACAAGCTCGGGACAGGGGGAGCTTGAGGGACAGGGAGGGGAGGGAGGGTAGAGCCTTTCGACTTTCTGTCTCTAATGGTTAAGGTCGAAAAGCAGCTGAGGTGCTTTGGGTGCCTCCTGTAGACACTTAGAGCCGGGAATCTTCAGGTCTCCTTTCCCCAAAGAAATGAGCCAAGTGTAAGAGCCGGAGAGGGGCGGTGGCGATCCAGAGATTCTCTGGGCTATGGTCGGCACCCTGCTCCCACGGGATAGTGGAAGGGGAGGGCCCCGGAGGCCCCGGATGCATCTCTGGCCCGGCTCCATGCCCCTGGCCTCATCACACAGGCCCTTTGCTTCTTTTCCTTCTTGACCTCTTCCCAAGTGCTCCTGTGGCATTCCTCAGGGTAATGGGGCATCGGCAGGAAGGGTGATGAGCCCAGATTTGCTTTATTAGCAAAGCAGACACACACACATGACCTCAGAAAAATGATTGTAGCGAGTGCTGTGTTTCTATTATGACTTTTGTTGGGATTGCCCTTAGAGAAGTTTGTATTTTGTCCATGGCATGGGTTCATTCTAGGACACTCGGGAGCTGTGCTTGGCCTTATTTTTAAGCTAATCTCTTTATCTCATACTAAAGTCAGCAGGACTTCAAGAGAAACCATGAGACTGCAGGGCTGTGATGGTAGTGGCTTCAGGAGCTGGAAAAAGAGAAAGAGGCAGGAGTTTCCAGACTGTGTCTGTCAAGTGATGGAGAGAGGTGGCTCCGGGGCAGTGGTCCACGAGGAAGGTCTGAGCTTAGAATGATGATCACGGAGCCACCTATGGGCCACCTATGCCATGATGCTCGGGACCGTCCACTGCCTCACAGTCCCCTGGGTTCAGGTTATTTGTGTGCTTGGGCTCCTTTCAGTGGTGTCTGAGAAAGGAAAGAGATCTCTCCCAGACAAAGTAGAGAGAAGAGGGGTCAGGACCCTAAAAGTTGCTAAGTAAGATTGGAAGTTCAGCTCTAAAAACTCAGCTTTGAGAGAGTGAAATTAGGAGTGCAGGTGACCTGGATGGTTAGTGACAGCATGGAATCGTCTAGGGCACTGACCTTCTGCACATGTGATGCTGTGGCAATCCCGTCCTTAGCACCTCTGCCTGGCATTGCTTTGCAGCAGAGATTCTGGATCCCAAAGTTGACGTCCCTCAGTACTGAAGGGAACCTGACAGGTCAGGGCCTGCCCTACCAAAGATACCCAGTGTTTCTGAGAGCCTCCTGTCTGAGCCTACCCACTCTCTCTAGTCCTGCTCAGCGGCCATGGCATGACCCAGGACTTGGACCTCAGTTGTCTGTGCAGAGTGGGGCTGTCCTCTCCTGGCTGCCAGGGTTGGCACAGACAGCCTTGGGGAGCAGAGTCTGAAAGGTCAACGTGAGGGTCCTTCCCCAGAGGCCCCACACACTCGTGCAGCTTCTTCCGTGAGGCTTACGGGGGTGCCCCGATGCTCCCCGAGGCTGAGACGTTATTGGATCCAGCCTCAGATGGCAGCATACAAAGAAGTGAAATTTCCCAGGGCCGAGAGTCATGACTGTTAATGACGCTGGGTAAGCCGTGGGGCTTTCAGCCTCTTTAACTTGAGAAGCTGCCAACTAGTCTTCGGGGCTGAGGCTCCAAAATATCTGGAATCCCATCTGCTGGCTGCCGCTGAATCGTTCCGGTTTGCCATTCCTTAAACATGCTCATCAACCTGCTTCCAGAGTTTAGGACTCACCACTTGTAAGGCAGGGCGAGGGCCCCGATAACTGCCACATCCAACTTCAGAAGCACCTGCCCAGCACCCTGCAGGCCCTTCCCTCCAGCTCTGCCTGAGGGGTACAGGTGTCTATTAAGAAATGACTCCCCAGCTGGTTCTGAGGGGCAAAGATGCTAATGTGTGAGGCTTTGAAGTCCAGACCTGTTTTGGGGGGGGAAATAATGCTTCGTGAATGTACTGCTTGATCAACTCCTAGGATTCAAACTGGGCTAGTGATGAGAAACCCGGATCCGCTCATCTTGGGGTCGCAGGGCCTGCAACCCATGCTCCTGGGGGTGACCGAGCACCACAGGTATGGCTGTATATGCTTTTATTCTTCTCCCCTTAAGGATTTAAGGATTTTTAGGGATTTTTGCTATAATGGTTTTCTCTGGAGAAAAAACAAAAACGTTTTTAAATGAGCCAAACCTTCTTTCCCTGCATTTTTATGACATGCACTTGGCTGTGGGCTGCTTTGTACTACCTACCTACACCCTTGCCCAGATGCTGCTCTGGCTTCCCAAGCAAGAACCACGAGCTTCAGATACCACTGACTCAGCCTTCCACTTATAAACCGTTATCTGGTGGCTGAAGAGAGGTTAGGGAAACGAAAGGTATTTGGGTATTGGACCCAACCTTTAGACTTTAGAAAAGTTACGCTGAGAGATGTAGATTTACCTGAGCTATTTTTTTTTTCTTTTCGAGGGAAGGGGACACGTCGTTACACCATTGCAGAGTAATTAATTGCTGGTTACTTGATCTCTTACATCAGTTCCTTACTTTGACCGTCACTCGTAGGGAGGCTCCATTTCCCAGAGTACCCTGACAGGCTGTTTAGAGTAGGAGGTCCTGCCCCCTACCACTTGGTTGGTTGCTGAGCACGGCCACTCCCACCCCCACCCCCGCCCCCACCTCGGCTGGAGGTGTGGGAGTGAGGGGTGAAACAAGGCGGTCAGCGAGATTGGAGTGCTCGTTCTCGGTGGAGGCGCCATCTCCAGCAGTGAGTGCTGCCGTTCCACGTACCTACAAAGGCTCCCCCACTGGCTCTGACGAGATTCCCACAGGAAGGAATGGGAGGCAGCCATCTGGTTGAGAAGCCTTGGTCCAGTGCACAGTCTATCTTGGTATCTCCACCTTCATCCATCCCCTTCCCTCGCACTCACACCCCCTGGCTTGATTCTTTCTAAGACTTTTCTTTATATTCTGGACCTCAGATTAAATCTGCGGGCAAAGGGTTTGTAGCTAGTGGTAGGCAAGCAATGGCTTCTAAAAACCCTGATGCTACAGCAACATGGGCCCTAGCGTTCCCAAGCTGTTCCCATTTCTTGTTGTTATCCAATTCCTGGGCTTGTTTTACCCTCAGCCTTCTAGATCCTCCTCTGCGCTGCTGCTGGCCAACCAGCAGGCCCTTTCCTGGAATCCTCTTTCAGAAGTGGGGTTGGCACAGCTCAGAGTAAAGATGCACCCCATCACAGCGCCCCATCCAGCGACCCTCCTCTCCTGAATCCTTAGGTGGGAGGGGAAAGCGTTAAGCCAGCTGTTAGGCTTTGTGCCCAAGCCCGTGGGGAGTGAATGAATGCCTTCGAAATACCAGGTAGGTGTAGGAAGAGCCTCGTCTCCCCTTGCTGCCTTGACCACCAGTTAGCACATGCACCCTCTGGGAAATTATAGGAGCCCTGGTGGACGTACAAGTGGACGTGCGCTTGATGCGTAGATTGTACGGTGTTTGTTTGTTTTGCAATAAAGATGTTTAGCCTTAAGACCCTCGAATGGCACTCCAACTGTGATGGAGCCGCCAACACTCTTCCCTCTTCTCCCTCCCTCATGTAGTGTTGCTTAAAGAGGAGGCCCACTGAGGGCGCACTCAGGCCCCCGGACAGCCTCTCTTCTGTCACGCCATCATTGTACTGCCTTCTTTCTCACTTCGATAAAAATTACCTTCACCAGCTCTCGTGCCCTCCAACTGGACGAGATTTCACTGTCCTCCCAGCACTAGCTGCAGCCATCAGAGACAGCACCATTTTCTCACCCATCATGTTCATGTTGAGATGTTTTCATTTCCACCCCCTCACAGTTCAAAAGAATCAATGATGTGAACTTGCCTCCTGCTTAAATTAGTTTCAAATGAAACTTCATTCTCATGCGAGCATATCAGACTTATTCGGGAACCTTTAGAACTGGACTTGAATACCCTTGCAGGTGCCGGACCGGTGGGTGCCCTCCCCGCCCACCATTAAACTTTTCTTAGAGCCACTGTCTCTTTATCTGTGACCTCTGAGTCAGCCAACAGATCCACTAGTTGTTCAATGAGACGTTCACGGATCTTGTTTCAGGATATGAACTGCTTTTATGCAAAGAAAGATGCAAACCCGCCCCCCACGATGAATGTATTCTCAATATTCAGACGCCGTATTTGTGCATCTGTTGGAGGCTGCCCACATCTGACATCTCACTGACACTGCGGAGGACACTTCTACTCACGAGCAGTTCGTCATCCTGGGGCTCCTCCTTGTATCAACACTCTTGCCATTGAGTCCTGCCAAATCCTTCATTGGGTTTTTCTTCTTCCTTTGCATCTGCCACTTTGCCCACAGTAGCATCAATCAACAGAAGCGCAAACGAGCTGAGACTACTTGTGCGGTCAGCCGAGTACGCTGACAGAACTCCACTGTATGACTGCAGCCTGGGGGTGGTAAGAGGGACAGGTGGGCCCCTCCATTGATATTCCCTTCTCAACATTTTTAAACAAGCACAAATGATATTTGTTAAAAAAAAAAAATTTAATTTTATTTATTATGGTAATAATAAACTATTTTATACATGATCATACGTGATTGCTTCTGCCTTGCCTTTTATAGAATTTCCAGGCACTGAATTGGGTGTTCGCACCTAAGAACAAGGTGGTACTTTCTAGTCCTTTTCAAGAGCCTGGGGAGCTCTCATTTGGATAGCACCTGTAACTCTGGTTTTCGGAGAACTTAAAATTCTAGAGACACCAAGATTGTGTGTCAGTCAAAGTACTGCATAGCAAGAGAACGGTTGTGAAGGAGCTTCACCATATGATCTTGAAATAGAGCCGTATCTGCGATACAAATGTACAGAGATGCCCTCCAAACCTGGCATCACCGGAAAATTGCGGTACAACACACTGACTGAACACAGAACTGAAGCTGACCTCCCACCTAGAGCTGAACTTTTTAAGCTTTCTTGAACAGTTCGGATTAAAATTTGTGTACTCATGCTTTGCTGCCTTTTAAAACATACATACTGTCAAAAACTTTACTCAGTCTTTTTGGAATGAACTCAGCGTCAACAATATGAGTTCTGATCTCTGCTTTGATTCACTAATCGTCACAGAAGCCATTAAGGTAGAGGACCGCTTGTCCCTAAGCCAGTCCTGTACACCAGCACTGTTTCAGTTCCGCTGTGGTTTTAACAGCTATTGCTTCCTGCTCATGGCAAGAGTCTCCACAGTACTGCCAACATGAGTTCTTATTTCATACTAACGGACTACGTTTCAAAAATGGCACTTTTCTTTTTATAGACAGTACAACTTAGGGATGAGGAATCTGATCTGCAAGCCATATTTAGGCCTCTGCTTGATTTCATAGGGCCACAGTATAAATCCAGTATTTTTGATGACTTTCTCCCCACACCCTATTATTTTTTTACATCGCAGAAGAGCATAATAAAACGAATTTAAGGGTGATATTTTTTAAAACTCCAAATGATTGACGTTCATTTCAAAAGTCTCACCTAATAAAGCACTAAACATATTGTACTCTTTAGATATCCTCAACGATGAAAAAAAATCTTTCTTTGTGACCATGATTTTTACAATTAGTCAAAAGGACTAAGCAACACAGAGCCAAGTAATAGATACTACATTTTGGATGACAAGTGGGTTTCAACAATAAAAAAGAGGGATTTTGTTGGTTGGTTTTAAAATAAAACGATTACCCTGAAGAAGGTTCCTCAGAGAGGCATCTCACCATGCACTGAGAGAGGCCAGGACCGTCAAGATCATCTGGTTTCTCCACAGTTGGCCTTTCTGTATGGATGTGTTCTGGTACATTTGCTAGAAAAGAAACTCATTATGTTATGGTTAATTTGTTATACTTAATCAGTAATTATATTATTACCTTAAATAAGCAATGAGCAGTCTCAGTTTCTCTAAGGGGAAACCCCCTCCCACTAAATTACTGTTCTCCCAATATGCAGATCATTATACAATTATATATATGATTGATATATTTTCTTTCTAAGTCTGCAGCCTTTTAGTAGAACAGAAGGCTTCTGCTGTCACTTCTCAAATAAATTAATCTGAGGAAATAACGAAATAAATACTTTTCAGTCTTCTTGCATGGT